AGGCGGCAAACACATTTTTAAAACCTGGATTTAGAAGATTAAGCAGAACAAAAGTAAAATATATCTTGAGGTTATAAACAGAACTGTATTTTACAATCCATCACCCTCACAACATAATGGCCCACAGCAGTGCAGCAGAGGGATCTCAGTCTAAAGGTTGTGGGTCTGCAATAGGCATGGTATGAAGTACTTCATCTAGAAGCTGGAGGGCACGGTGTAAGTGAATTTCAATCCAGCATGGTGTTTCTTTGATGCTCTGTCTTGGGTAATCAGGTCCCCAACCTTTTACAAAACTCATCCTGAGTATGCATAAGCGTCGAAGGTCATCTACACCAATTCCAGCAGCAGCTGACAAACCTGAATAGAAGAGGTTTCAAGTTAAGTATTCACAGACATACTCTTATTATCTGTTTGCTTGGCTCTTTCTTCATGTACAATTCCCTCTCACCACAGCCAAGGCCAATCCATATTTCTAGATCTCTGCTATAACAAAGACAGCAATTATTTTCCATTTCTTCCAATTAAATTTTTCCCCATCATTCTGCAATCTTGAAAGGGTGTCAAAATATAAAACACCTTATAATAAATAAGCAGGCACTATAAAACCTAATGTCTTATGTGATACAATGCATGTAAACCTTATTTAGGAAATATGGTAAAAGACACTTATTCTTGAGGTTTGCCAAATGCAGTGTTTTCAGCATAAGAACTCAAGACTGATCACCTGCAGGAAGCAACATTACACTACATCTAAGAAAATAAAAAGATGAATACAGCTGGCAAACTTCAAAACACAAGAATGGCTAAGACAGATGTTAAATACATTCTCTAAAATGCCTTCAACAAATCAAATGATAACTGGAAAGAGCCATTTGGCAATACAAGGAATCCAGAAAACACTGTGGCACATGAAGCAGTCTCAGACACGTAAGTACATAGAATTTTAAAAGCACTTAATTCTAGATCCTTGAAATTATATCTAACAACTAAGAAAACTCTAGCCTAGAATAACTTAAAAAAAAAAAAAACGAACCACCATAGAGAAACACCCTCACACTCTCTTCTTCCTCTTCTCAAGAATCTGGATTAAGTTTCCTTAAACCTAGTCAAGGACTTCACCGCTCAATAATCCCCATTATTTTGAATAATGTTTTTATGAGCTTAGATCTCAAAGATAATTTTTTAAGCTTTCGTCTAAGCAGCCAAAATTATCTCTGTTTCAAGTAATAGGTTTATGCTATTTGACCCTGTATATAAATGTTTTCTGTTGTACTGCATATCCAACATCCACTGAAGACTACAGAGTGAAAACTGGTGTGTGGAGCACATACAAAGTGAACAAATACAGACTTAACATGATGCCACCCCAGCCACACCTTGCCCCAAATCCTGCTACCTCGCTCCAAGTTCATTTGTACTGTTACAGGAGCAGTGGGTGAATGGGTGCTGTTATGAGGGAGAGCTATGTTATTTGTTTTCAAGTAAGGAAAATAAGGAGACCAAGCAGCTAATGTACTTACTAATGGCTGGGGCTATTCCACCTACTGATCCTGGTCCAGGGATGTTTCCAGCTACTGCTGCAGCTTGAGCAGCAGCAGCAGCCCGGGCAGGGGCAGCC